CCCCCCCCAGCTTCCTTTCCCAGCACCACTGCTGCCCACCCGGCATAGCCCCGGTCAACCCCCACCTCCACCTGCATGCCAGGAGGAGCCGGGGCTGCACTGGGTGGACGGTAGCATATGCTGCCCACCATGCCGTCCCCAAGAGCATGTACAGCAGTAGGGAGCTGCCCCCCTCATCCCCAGGGCAAGCTGTCCATAGCTTTGTTCTGCTCCTGGCCTCTGGGTTGCATTCACCACCCTGGCTGGGCAGTGCCAGCCCCTGCCCCACTCCCTCCCTCACTGTGGGGGCTTTGATATGAACCCCAACAGACTTACTGGCAGGGTGTTGCTCTCCAAGGTGCCCAGCTGCATTCCTGGCCATGTGCATGGGTGTGCTGTGCATGTGCATGTAGCATTTTTTGGTGACATTATCAGCTATACCAGGCAAAATAATCCAATGGCTGATAATGTTAATTTTCCTTTTTATCAGTGCCGATCTGATGTGCGACAGCTATATTAGCGCACCTCTAATTTCCTGTACTACAAATATGTTTAAGTGGTGTGAGATACCATGATAATAAGATTTAAGAATATATATTTTATTGTGCAGATGGATGTATGAAGAGAGAGTAAACTTTGTAACAGGGTCTTAAATGATAACTGTCTTAACATGTGTCACAGGAGACCCTACAGGAGACCTAGTGGTTGTACAACAGTTATTAATATCATAGGACCATATCCTGCTATCTTTACTCAGTTGAGTAATCCTTGGTCGCATGACAAGTACAATAGACTTCAGTGAATGAAGATAGCAGAATCAGGCCTTTTACTTAGCTTTGTGGGAATATGGTACAGAATGGATGAGACAGGATGTCATGGCCTCGTTTCTCATTTTAAAAGGAATGTTTAGATTTTATTTTGGGCAGAGGTGTGGCAGTCATCAATAACAAAGAAACAAATATTAAGAAACAACTGTGGTTGAGGTTCTGCTAGTTAAAGTAGTTTACTTTGCAGGAAAAATGAAAGGGAATAATGTGACCCCTCCATGCTACTTAGGAAAGTTAAAGTGTAGTACGTTGATTATGGCACTGAGAAGGTCATTTTGTCAGAACTGTTACTAGATCTGGCTTTCTTAGGAATAAAGAGGAGACTTGGCTTATTTAAACAATACTAAATATATAGAGAAGCCCCTTTAAAAGTTGTTTTTGACACATAGCAATGAATGCAAGTGAACGTAAACTCTAGTTTAATAATACAGTTTTCTTTTTCAGCTAAGGCACCAGGTAATGCTTTGGGCTGAATATTGAGCTCTGGTTATTGCTGCTGCTACTTCCTATGGCATATTTATATTTATCTAAAGCCTAATCATGCCCCAGCTGATTCCAAATGGGAGATGGTTTGTTTCCTATTGGGTTGCTTACAGTGTAGTTCAGGAAGCCATTTTCTTTTCTCAGTGAATCTAGCTGCTTTTTTAATTTGTGCGCTAAATTTTTTGGCAGCTAAAGCTAAAAGAGGAACCGATGCACATTCCAACACCTCATGTGAATGTTGCACAGAACAAAAGAGGTGATCTGACATTTGGTTGTAGTGTAAAGCATTTACCCTGCATTTCAATTCGTTCCATATAGGCAGTTCGCGTGTAGTTAAAATATCTTCTTGACAGTCTCAGTAATTAAGGGCAAGGTTTTAAAACTGCTACTGTATTGCAGTATTTAAGAAAGCGGAATTCCAACTTCTTCTAAAATGTTGGGTCTATTTCATTTTAGCCCGCAAATATACAGACAAGCATGAGTGGATATCTGTTGAAAATGGTATTGGAACAGTAGGAATCAGCAATTTTGCACAGGTATTGATTTTTTTTTTTTTCACCCCAGTCTGCATTATTTACTTATACATACCTAAGTTTGTCCTTGATCTTTGGATTGTTACTGTCCTTTTATTGTTTTAATTGCGTATGTTGGACACTGAGGCCTATTTTGGACTTGGATTTTAAATTATTTCTAAAACACATCCTGCTGTTTCAGCATTCTGTGAAACTATTGATTGTTGCAGTTTTCCATAGGATTAACTAAAGCTCAGTATGAACCTTATCTGCTAAATCAGAATAACAGATCAGATTTATTACTTTAATCCTGTTTTCATTGTGGGCTTTAGGAGTGCCCTTTTATGCCAAAATCTGCCTGGACTTTGTGTGTAACTCCTTTGATTGAAAAGGGGCTGTATACAGTGTACTACAGCTGCCTCTAAATGGTGGGGTCACCCAGAGAAACTGGACTTATGGGTTTTCAAACTCTTGGATGGGGATATTTTTAACTTGAATCCCAGTTTGCATTTATAAATGAACACAAAAATCCAGAGCACCCTGTCTGAACCTACAATAGGCAAATGTGATGTGATATATGGGATACTTGAAAATCTGTTTTAAGGTTTATGTGAATGGGATTAGTATTACATAGGATAAATAGTATTTTTCTTGTAATTTCAGCTTTCCAGCTGTAAATAATATGCATACTGTGAAAGACTGCTTCACTTGTATAGGATGGAGGCAGATTTGTTTCTTACAGGACTTGATGGCTGTTGAACTCCAGTGGCAAGACTCCCATTTACTTAAATATAGGGTGACTATAATAAGTTTAGGGAAATCCAGGGCAGAGGATGGCAGCACCCTCTCCCGATCGCTCCATGGCTCACAGGTTTGCGCCAACTGGGACTTTTCTGGGTGGCTAAAACAGCCTATAAAATCTGGGAGTGTCCTAGCCAGTCCAGGATATATGGTCACCCTACTCAAATAGGACAAAATGAAAGATCACTGAGCACTGTGTACTCGTCAATATTTTGATGTTTATCAGGAAACTAGCAGTTGTGCACAGCTTGGTCATTCAAATGACGCACACCGTAAATACTTCATGCTTTGGGAAGCATATCTTGGTCCCTAAGGTCACTGGGAATTTTGCCTCTAGAATCTGTCTTCGTTCTTGCCTTTTGCCTGGAGTAATCCTCACGTAACTCTTTCTCTTACAGCACCATAATGCAACCATAAACTTAATTAAAACCTGACACGAAGTAGTACCTTGCAATTTAGAGGGCACAAGAAGCTAATTTAACTTGTAAAGTAAAACATCAAATGCAGCTGACTTTGTTTAATTGTAGTGTCCATCATACTTGAAGAAATACAATTAATAAATATAATCAGTTGTGGAGCTGCTATTATGAATTATTTCCCAACATTAAAATAACATTTAATGTACATGCCTGCTGCATCTGTTTTGCTTTTAGGAAGCATTAGGAGATGTTGTTTATTGTAGCCTTCCAGAAGTTGGAACAAAGTTGAATAAACAGGGTAAGTGTGATTTTTTTTTTTTTTTAATTTTATTTATTTATTTATTTTTTAACACTGTTAAACTATTTCCATAACGCACATCTTAATTTTTAACTTAATCATTATATCACCTGCACCAGTTCTTATCGTCTTGCTTGCATCAACATTGCTTAATTCTGTAATATGTATATTAAGTAGCTTTGTGTATTGGATTGTATGTAGGGTATGGATATTTATGTTTCTAAGATGGCTAAGATCTTTGGTTCCAAACTGTCAGTGCTGTAACAAGGTACAATAGAATTCTCCACTGTTTATTAATGGGGGTTAGAATCTGGCTTGGTAATTGTAGATGCAGTTAATTAAAAACTAAATGTAAACACTTTAATTTCATGCAGGCTTAAATAGAATTGCTACAATAAGGGCACATCTACACATTGCCGTATGGCAACACACTAGGTCACTGTATGGTGCGCTACAGCAACATAGTGATCGCAGGGGTCTATGTGTGACTGCCAGCTATGTTGCTGTAGCTGTGCACTCCCCAGTGTAGTGCGTGCGCTGCTGTGTCAAAATCTAAGTGTGACATGCACGGCACAGTAACCACCCATACTGTGCCATGCTTTAGTACTTCCAAAAGGAAGTGCTAAAGTACACTGCCGTAGCAACATTGCCGTACAGTGTCACAGATGCGCCCAAACTACACTTTAAAATTGAGGTTACTTTTATGCTGTGATTTGAAAACCTGGCAGTGTTCTTAAATGGTTTACTTGGTTTGTCTTTCACAAGCTGTTTCTTCGTTGAGATTAATGAATCAATATGGGAGAGCTGATGTAGACTTTACAGATACAAAGTTTTGTATACACATTAGCCCCTACACCCAGTCAGTAACAAAGCAGAAGTTAGCACATGGGAGTCCCCAACCCTGTGCTTGAGCCATACCACTTCTCAGTCATTTTAAGTGTATGTTATTCAATCATAAAAAATGTAGCAATGTGGAAACCACTGCTGAAGAGTGTCCCTTTGCAAGCAGGAGAAAATCTTTTTCCTTTCTGTGCCCTTAAGGAAGGGGATGGCTTTATAGTACATGAAGAGATAATCCACCATTGACTAGGGATGTAGCAAATTGCATAACGAGATTAGAAGAGAGGTGGTGTAAGGGTCAGTCTCATGCTATGCAAAGTTTGAGTCGCAAGCTCTAGACAGAGGTCCATAATCAACATACCACACTGTAACCTTCCTAAGTGGTATGGAGTGGTCACGTTCTTCTTCACAAAGGTCCTATCTCTTTCAATGGGTAATCAACAAACTCAGTTTTAACCCTATTGGAAAGAATTTTGTTCCTTTCTTCCACCTTTTATTCTACTTGATCTAGATCTACTTCTAAATGCTCCCTGGAGGTGTTGTATTTTATTTCCCAGAGCTTGAACGTGACTGCCCTTTTGAGAGCTTCATGTTCTTCCAGACTTTGTCTTATTTCTTTGCAGTGTGAGTTGTTAATGCTAGCATTGCCCCAACTTTCATATTTTACATGCGGTTATTAAAATGACAAGGGCAGGA